TATATATATATATATATATATATATATATATATATATATTTATGTATTTGTCACTATGGTTTTTATCAATATTTACTATTGATGTTTTCTTTGGTTAAAACTGATTACGAACAATAATAATAATTTGATAGTACTGTGTCATTGAATTGAATGAAGGGAATGAAAAGAACTTGAAAAAAAAAGGAAATATTGTATTGTTCCTTTTTAATGAAGATTGTTGAAATAAATGTGGTGGTTACGCCACGAAAGAGAGAAAAAAAACATCCTTTTTAATAATTTCTTATATTTCTAGAAAAGAATAAAGACTATCATAGATTATACGTTCTAGAATTTTTGATATGGCTGGTAGACTAGATATAGGACGATAACTATTGCAATCATTCTTATCGCCAGTTTTAAATAGAGGACTAATTTTTAGTGAATTGTGGAACAACACCACTTTCGAAAGATAGGTTTAAAATATGACGGAGTGGAGAGGCTAAAATTGGAATAATATTTTAAAGTATTTTACTACTTATTTTATCAATGCCTTCAGAGTTTGATGATTTGATTTTGTTAGCAATACCGATAATTTCATTTTCATCGGTAGGAATAAATTATAAAGAATTGGGATAATTTCCATTTAAATATTGCTTAAAATTTGTATCAGAAGGCATTACAATCTTATTAGCAAGTTGCTCAATTTGTCAAATTTCGCTAAAATGTGTGTTAAAGGCATCAGCGTATTACCTTGATTGAAACTATTGCTATCAGGGGACACAGCACCAGCTTTTCCCCTTCCGAGAACCTCATTGATAAATTTCCAGGTCTGCTTTGAATCATGATAAGAATTGTTAATAACACGGAAATAATAATCACGTTTACTAATTCTAATGAGATGAGTTAATTTTTTTCTGCATCGCCGTAATTTTAAGGAGTTTGAGTTTGATGGTACTTTTAAATATTTTTTGTACAATACATTTTTTTGTTAATTGATTTAAGAAGGCCTTTTGTAATCCATGGTTTTTTTTTATCTGTTTTTTTCTTCCTTTTATTGTTGTCGATGGAATTGTTTGATTAATTGTAATTGCAATGATGTCGATGAGCAAGTTATAAGCAATGTTGGGATCCGAGTTGTTGTAAATGAAATCCCAGTTAATGTCTGTAAGTTCGTTAGTAAGTGCGTTTAATGTAGTTTGATTAATAATTTTAATTGTTGATTGCTTGTTTTCATGTGAAGGTAACCGATGGTTAGAAATAAAATAAATAGGGTAATGATCTATAATACTTGATGTGATGATACCTGATTGAAATGGTCGAAGATGAATATCAGTATTATTTGTAAAAATGTTATCTATCAGTGTTGCAGTAGATAATGTTGAATAAATAATATCTAAACATGTTTTGGTATGAGTTGCTTCTTGGATATTAAGTTAAACTCTCCTAATATATATCGTTGTTTATTTTCTCTGTTGATATTGTGAAGAACCTTGTCAAGTTTATCATAGAAATTAGAAATGACGATAAATAAAACCAACTACGATATTTTTTGATTTTTGTATAATTTCAATAAACAATGAATCAGACATGTCGTCATCAGATGTTAAGTCTGTACGAATTTTAAAATTAAAATTTTCATTAACATATAGATTAACGCCACCTCCGTCTCTGCCTTCCCTGTTTTTATTTATCATATTTTAACCATTAAATTTAAGTAAGTCAGTGTAAGTATTATTTTTAATCCAAGTTTCTGAAAATCCTAATACACTAAATTGATGTCCCGAACACGAAAAGAGTGCAGATATTTCATCAAAATGAAGCGATAAACTTCTTGCGTTTAGTGGAACAAATATAAAAGAAATATATATATATATATATAGAAAAGTGCGTGTGCCGGAGACAAACAGTAAAGAAAATGTTGAAATATTTCGGAACATAAATATATTTTATTTAAACGAATATTTCGTCCTCTCCTGAAGACTTCATCAGCGTAACTGATCTACATTGCATAAAGCTAAGTAATATATACAATAAAGGTGATAGTTATTTCTATCAATAGGCGT